TGCTGCACCCGCAGCTCCGAGGGGCAGGGACAGCACCTTGTCACACCTCCGCTGGGACACGCCTCGGTTTTATCTCGCTCCGAGCACAACAGGGAGAAATTCTCCTTCCTCAGGTCACTACGGAAATCCCACGGGGACCACGACGGTTCCCGCGGCCCTTGAGCTTCAGCGTCCCCCTCGGCCGAAGGGGCGGCTCGGCGCCGTCGGCCAGGGAAGGGGGGCGAGGTTGGCTTCCCACGGCCGCCAGGCTCACCACTTGAAGAAGACCAGCCCTGCCAGAGCCGTGTAGCCCAGCACCAGGAAGAGAACCTTCAAGAGCCGGTCGTTCTTGTCTTCCAGCTCCTTGGCGAGGATCTCGAAGAAGGTGATGAACAAGAAGGTGCCCCCGGCCATGCCCTGCAGCAGCAGGGACGTGACGGCGCTGGCTGCGTTCCGGCTGCTCTCGATCCCCATCCCAACGCCGATGCCCAGAGGGATCATCAGGCTCACGGCCACAGCCATCTTCACGGCGTCCTTCAGCGGCAACGAGGCCTTGGCCATGCTGACGCCCAGGGCCACGGCCACCAGGGTCTCGTGAACGGCGACTCCCAGGAACAAGCTCACGACTTTCCCGCCCTCCTCCTGCAGGCCCAGGGCCAGCCCCTCGAAGATGGAGTGCGTGCACAAAGCGAACACCAGCCCGACGAGCCGCAGGGGGCTGGAGCGGGAGAGCTGCTGGACGTTCAGGCCGTGGGAGTGGTGGCCACGGTCACCGTACGAGGGGCGCCCGTGGGACGAGGCGATGAAGGGGCTCTCATATTCCGAGTCGCTCCCCACATCCGACCCGGCGTTGAAGGTCTCCAGGTCAATGAAGGAGGGTTTTTCCTTCTGGAAGGTCAGGACGAGCTGCTCCACGAACACCGTCACAAAGAAGCCAACCATCATGATGGTCTCGGCCACCGGGTAGTCCGTGGTCACGTTCCCCTGCCGGAGAACGTCATCGAGCTGGAAGGAAGCAAACAAGCCCCAGTGAACCCATTTCCTCTGTCCCTCCCAAGAGAAATGTTCCCTTCGTGTTCACACAGCTCTGGACAGGCCCTAAGGTGCTCCCTGTTGCCGTCACACCCTTGTGCCCAAGGGAGCCCAGTGCCCTTCCAGCGGAAGGGTCGTGGATCTCGGAAAGTTCGGAACACCCACTAAGCGGCCGGAGTTCCGAGCCTCCCACCCCTGGTGACGCTCAGGCCCCTTCTGTTACAGTCAGGTTTGAATTTTGAATAGACAATTGCTTTTCATTGATGACTCGTTGCTTTTAATGGACAACTTAATTGCTTTAGTGAATAACTAACATTTTGTATTAATTTCCCGATTTGATCAGTTTACATGACGGTAAGAAATACCCCCAACCTCCCCGACGCTCAGAGCCAGCAGACGCCTTACGACGGTGGCCAAAGCCAGAGCTGCTGCGGGGCGTGAAACTGTGCAGAACAGGACAGGGGGGCAGGGAGACAGGTACAAGGGGTGAAAGGGTACGTTCTCAGCTCGTTCTCTTATGGGATGAAACCATAAAAACAAGGAGGAATGTTGCTGTGAAGACCCTCCCATCCTCCCCATCCTGATTTGTAGATCAGAGATTTTGATCAGTAAGATAACCCGTCACTATATTAGTTTAGGAATATTAATAAGTCATCTAATAGGGTGGGCTAATCATTGTAAATGTCAAGATTAACAGCGGCCATAACATGCACGCTTATGTTAAAAGAGGTTAAAGATCGTGACTTTGCAGAAAAAGGATAAAAAATGTTGAATTTTCAATGTAGCTTTGAAGCACGTCAGGTGGAGCCTCCCCCCGTGCTCCCCAGCGCTGCAGTAAAGCGCCGGCTTCTCCGCCACGGCGGGGATA